CACTGACCAGGCTGCCCAGGGTCATGGTGGTCAGCGTCCCTGGGGGTGTTTGAGGCACGTGTAGCCGTGGCGCTTGAGGACAGGGTCCAGTGGGTGTTGGGGTGGTGGTCAGGCTGGGTGGTCTTACAGGGCTTTCCCAACCTTAGCGACCCCATGAATACAACAGTGATACAACTGATATGAACGATACCAACGATGCTGCTCTGATGTAACAAAAGTAATCCTACACCACTAGCCCTGTTACCAGAGGTCTCCCACCTCCTCAACACTCCCATAGCCCCTTTTTTCTCCCCCTAACACCCTTTTCACCAGGAGCAACAGCACCCTGCTTCCCCGCACCACTGCCTGCTCATCGGGAGTAACAACGTCCCTCCGCCTCCAGCTCCAAGGAAACCCGGAGCTCCCGGCTGAAGGGCAGCAGCACTGAGGGCACCTTCAGCTTAAAGGCGAAGGCGGGCACCATCAAGAACAGGAGCAGGAGGAGAGCAGGCGGCCACATCCCCCTCAGCCCGGGGCCACAAAGGCGCTGACGGCAGACCCCTTCCCGCCTTCCAGCTCGCCGCCGCCCTGCGCATGCGCCGGTATTCCAATGCCTAAACGCAGCACGTTGGAGCGGGCCCCGGCGGGGGCCTGTTGTAAACACGGCACAACTGCTGCACAACAGAAAAAGGTTAAGAGGAAATTCCTGTGTTGCATCCTCCCCCAGCACCGGGGAGCAACAGGTGACCCGTTTTCTGGACAGGCAGCGCTGGAAATTTGGGCAACCCTACAAATTGAACCTCAGCGTACTGTTGCCCGTCACCCCCAATCCGGTGGGGCTGAAGAGAGGAAAAACTCGGATTTTAAAACCAAACAAGCAAGACTTAGTGCAGAAAGCAACTTGAAATATGTGTGAGGGTTACCTTTCCCCTGGTGAATAGAAACAGGCCGTCCCCTTGCAAGGACGGGACGGGCGGCAGCGCGACGGCCCTGCACGCCGCGCTGAATCCCCAGGCAGTCAGCCCAAACCGAGAACGCTCCTCCACGGCCGTGCCAGCTGTTAGCGGGGCGTTTAAGGACTTGCCACAGACACAACTTCTCCCGGTGCGGCCAACAAAGCGTGCCGCGTGAAATATTTGACACCGTGGCTTCCGCCAGCTCGCACGAGTGTTCCTGCCCTGACTTGGAGTGTCGGAATTACGAAACCTTATGGGCAGAGCGGGGTGACGCCAGCCCAGCCTCCTGGTTGGGGTAAAAGCATCTCGGGTAGCCCCACGACGCAGCGCTGTGTGAAATCCTGCTCGCCACTGGAAAGGTGCATCCATGCAGCACGCAGAGTGAGATCAGAGCCGTAAAGTTTAAGGTAAATTTCAAATCCTGCATGAAATGGCTGCAAAAAAATCCCTCAAAACTCATAAACTGGTGGGGATGGCTCACGGATGTGAGGGAACGGCTCCCACTCCCGACGGGATGGAAGAAGGATTTGCTGGGATTGTGAAGTGTGGTGGGTGTGCAGGCAGCAGCTCAGTCGCTGGTATGTGAAAGGATGGAGCGTGGCACGACACCAGCAAGGCGTGAGGTGGTGGAGCGAGCGCAGACCCTCCCTGCCCCCTCATCCCATCAGAGCCCAGCCCCACAGCGGCACCCGCCACCTCGCCTCCTGAAAGCTGTGGGTGCCCTCAATTTCCCTCTGCAATCCCAACTCCCTGCGTGCTCTACCCCCTGCCGCAGCCCAGGTCCTGCGAGACCCCCAGGCATTGGAAAAGCAGCTGCCCTGGGGCTCCGTGGAACAGAGGCAGCCGAAAAACCTGGCAAAGCCTCGG